AAGACAATTAACAGCCTTGCTTCCGAGTACTTAGTTAACCCGACACAAAAAGCGGGATCGTTTAAATTCTTTTGCAGTGGGCCGCGGAAACATATGCGTTTGGCTGTGTGGGCCGTGAGTTAAAAAAGGTTGGAAACCACTGGTATATAGTATATGTTTATAACAGTTAAGGCAAGACCAATATATATATTAGTAATGTGTATGGAAAGTAATATAATAGCAATTGCGTATGTATGGTATGTTTATAACTGCTCATCTTATGACCAATATATATACTCCACAAACTAGATCAGACCAAAACCAGTAAAGTTCACTATGTCCTGTGTATGTCAGGTAGTTGTAGAATATGCACTCATTTTGGAGTTACTGGGTTCCATTGCATTGAAGTTATTGCAAGCAATCAGTATTTTATTTTTCTGACAGTAATTCGTTGACGGTCCCTAAATCAGGGGTGCGCGAGCGCCTCCGAGGCTGTGGAATTGATCTGGCCGTCTTTCGACCGCCTTGCCGGCTAGCGTGAGTGATGCCCCGCCGCTAAGTCTGGAGAATGTGGATCTGAATATCCGTCGAATATCCAACCTAAAACTGATTTCACCTGGGTGCTGAAAACGCCCAAGAAATTAGTTACTTTCCATGCATCACTAATGTAGGCCAGTTAAAAAAGTCGCCATAATCTCAGTACAACAGTCTAACAATAATGGTGTGGCCAAAACGGCCTCTAAGCAGCACGGTTATAAGAAAAAATAATTTAAAAGAAAACTTAACTAGTTGGTATGCGATGTTTCTTAACCACTGTAACGCTGAACAAATCAAAACGTCATTTTACCTGTTTGACTTGGATGGCGTCTTGTAGCATAAAAATCGACGGTGCAAATAAAAACTTGTGTCACAAATATACTTCAGTCATACACCGGTAAACCTAATAATAGCACAGATAAAATTTACCACAGTTATCTTTTTAAAAATAGCGAAAAACCCACCACGGCGAAATACAAAAAAAAAACGCAACCCGGAAAAAACAAATTTAGATCTATGAAAGCTTTGTTTCAAATGCACCTTTTGCTCACTGATTGCCTCCCACTTTAAAAATCTCTCCTGCGTCCCTGACTAAATGTACTAAACAGCATGAAAATCTGCAAACTTACCTTATCAAAATCAACGTCGTTTGTTTCACAACGACCTTTAACCGAGCGAAATACAGTTTTACTTTTGGTTTAATGCCTCGCACCAATAAACGGTTTGTGCGCAGGTGTTGTGGAAATTCCCCTCTCCCCGCCCCTTTCCTCAGAATATTACGTACAAACCCTAAAATTAAAAGTAAAATTTAAAATTGAAGCTCTGAACTTACAAAACATACTAAAACTACACTACCAATCTCTTTTAATTAAATTATTTTATAAAATACTCTTTTCTCTGAAGGTGCCCTCAAATTCTCATAAGTTTAAACACAACATCGTAAAATCTCGCTCAACTGTGCCCTCGCAGGGTTGGTTCGCGCCTGCGCCTATTGTTCCCGGGATAGGCTCCAGCACCCCCCACCCAAGTTGAGATTACGCGGTTACGATAATGGATGGATGGAAAATCATTAACTATGTCACCTAAAGCACATATTTCACTCAGATGACACACACAAACAAGCAAAAATTATCACAAAACACAACCAGGATTAATTCAGATCACTACTCTAAAAACTTTATACAACCAGGAACCATATATTTCAAATTTATCAAGGTTTCCATTCATAGTACTCAACATACAATACTGATAGTGTACAATAACACCACGTGCAAGATCATGTTTCAAATATTTTATTTTTCTCATATGTACTGCTCCAAAATCAACAGTATGTAAACTAGGAAAAAAAAGTTCTATCCAGGCTGCAAAGAACATAAAAGAAAATAAAATGTGCATGAAGCTGGTAAATGTATGTTACTGTAAATACTGTACATTACAGACATTATTCATCAGCTTCATGTCTCTGGGCTGAGTCAGTCCACAAAGCCTCATCCACACCACACAATATGTTTAATCTTCTAAGGCAGCAAGGGAAGTATGTTCAGCTGTGTCTTATCCAGGCTTGGGTGGACTCTAAAGTGATATCTCCACAGGCTTCCTCCATGGCCCACAGAAGATTCCCTGCTTCATAGGGATTCCGGTCAAAAACTTTCTACCACCATACTGAGAAGAATTCTTCTATGGGGTTGAGAAATGGGGAGTATGCTGGCAAGAACAAATTAGAAAACCTGGGATGATCATTTTGTTGTTGTTGCTCAACATTTTCAAAAAGATGATCAAGGAAATTTAACAGATGTGTTGTGCTGTAAGGGCCATGAATGGCATGGTGGTGGAGATCCCCCTGTTTGCTTATGGCTGCCCAATAATATTGCGGCCTCTTCTTCTTCTGGTGAGGTTAAGATACTGATAGTCCAGCAGGAATTGAACATAAGAATCAGGACTCATTCATCTCATCCTATAGCTGTAAGTTGGAGTGCAGCAGCACCAAAACAGACCTTAATACACTGAAGTTTTTCTTGCCTTTGTTTAATACTTTGTTCACCCAGTACGTTACATCCCTCAAGAGTATGACTAACATCCCTCAACAGTGAAGACCTCTAAATTACACACAGTATGACTAACATCCCACAACAGCGAAGACCTCTAAATTACGCACAGTATCACTAAGCATTGCATTTTTTCCCTTTTCTTCCGTTCCATGGTTACCTTTACGTACCTACTTTCTCCACTTAATTTTTCCGGTTAAAATGTGATTGTTGGACTTTGAACTGAAATACCACGCAGGCCTTATTGTGGACATTTTTAACTCTTAATTTTTTAATCTGAAAATCTAGACATACTTCTAACATGTCTGATTAATTTTGAAAGTTGTCTTTGGTTTTACATTAAAGATTTTTTTTGCACATGAGCTTACTCTGATTTTTTTTAACCTCATAGGTAAGATTCCTTTATTGTTATTGCACAGAGTACAAAGAAACTGAGTAGCATTCCTTACAGTGCCTCCACACATAACAAATATCAATTAAAAATAGAAAAATATAAAGCTACTAAAGTACTAAAGTGGGGGCAGCGTGTGGCTCAGTGGGCTAAGCCGTGTGCCTGTAATCACAAGGTCGCCGGTTCAAGCCCAGCCTCAGGGGCTTGAGGGAGGCGTAAAGACAATTTCCCCACGGGGATCAATAAAGTATCAATTATTATTATTATTATTATTACTAAAAAGAATATTATACAAAATCAGCAAGTATAGTTTTGCGGTTATGTATAGCAGTTGAGATACTGCAGTCCAGGATATTGCCGAATGAAACCCAGGTTACTGTTAGTGTAACAGGAAATATATGCACACAAGTACAAATAAAATGTAAATGTAGATATAAATATGAAAGTCAGTGCAGTGTTCTGTAGACATATCAGTAAGTGTTCTAGTGTTGATGGTGACATCGTTCCAGAACAGTGTCATTGTGCGGCAGTGTTCGGTTCTCTTATGGCTCTGACTTAAAGCTTTTTTTAAGTCTGTCTGTGATATGATGGACAATGGGCTGGGTCAGGGTAACGTCC